TCTTCTCCCAGCACGGCATGTTCTGACTTTGCATTGAATGTGTTTGGATATTACCTCATGTTGATTGGCAGCTACCCTACACTCTTTTGAATGTTTTACTTGTAAAAATTCAGTCCAGTTGTAGATTAATTGGTGTTTTTCCCCCTCTTTGGTTTTGGCACACTTCTCCTGCATTTTGATGTAATGTCTTTAGATAAATCTGGTATATTGTGCTCATGAATTGCTGGTTATTTGATTACATAATTTAAATGTTTTTGTCCTGATATGTAAGTCTTAAGATTTTTAAATGGGTAGATTTGATCATCACCACGAATGATGATGGTTTAGTTCTCCTTTGTTAAGTAGATCACATCTGTCTTTGATTCATCTTAGAAAAAAATCCCCCTCCCCACCTACATTTATTTGAGCTCAAACTGATGTTTTCCTGGAAAATTTACTTACTGTGGGAACTTTAACAGCCAGAATGCTGAAAATGTTGACAAGAGTCTGTGTGGGATCAGCTTACTGGTGACTCATCCTCATCAACTGCTGAAGGTAGAGACGAGGTGCAGTAGAATGGAGAGTGGACGAAACAACAGAAGAAAAAATAATATTAATAATGCTACTGTAACACGTAAATATCATATAGAAGGCTAGAGACCTCATGACGGGCTGAAGAGGTGCATGTTGCATCGCCGCCATATTGGAAGGGTCTCCCTATTTTAGGCAGCACCAGAATGAGCAAATGTGTTAATATTTTGTACATTAACAGGCACAATGGGTTTAACTTTTTACAAGTTTGTGATTATTTTAGATAGGCGATCGGCTTTCTCTGTACAAATAAATGCGCTGGGGTGCAAGTGGGACATATCCAAGATGGCGGTCGCAATGAAACGTAAGCGTCTGTAGGGGGTCCACGTACATGCTGTCTGTGCCGTAACAGGTATTGCGCAACAAGCTCACACTAAAGCTTGGACTTGACTGCTGTAATAACAGCCTACAAGCAACATTTCCCCCCCATTCATACAAAGCTCAAACCGGGGACAGATTTAGCCGGGGACAAGTCATCCAAAACGGGGACTGTAYCCGGAAATCGGGGATGTCTGGTCACCCTATTGGAATGACAGTTTCTTTGTTTTTCAGGGGTGTTGAGATATAGTTGTAGGGGTGCTAAAGCATTCCTAAAACAGGACTAGATACAACCATATTCCATAGTTTCCTAACAGAGCACTTCACTCTCAGACTGCAGGTTTACTTGTGGTTCCTGGAGTT